GCAAATTCTGAAATATCAAAGTCGGTGACAAGCGTTTACATTTTAAATTTTGTATCCATCTATACAAATAAATAAAATTGAAGTGTCTGTTTGTAATGTCAAAATACCAGCTTTTTACTAAATTCATATGCAAGTATATACGGTACTTATAACAAATACACAATTTTTAAAATTTTTGTCTGTCTGTCGGTCTGTCTGTCTGTCAGTCTGTTTGTTCCGGCTAATATCCGAAACGGCTGGACCGATTTCGACGGGACTTTCACTGGCAGGTAGCTGATGTTATAAGGAGTAACTTAGGCTACTTATAATTTTTTTTAAATAATTAGGTTCCGCGCAACATAATTAAAACCCTAAATTACACGCGGGCGAAGTGTAGAACAGCTAGTAATATAATATAAGCAATGAAAATTAGTGTTATTGATAGTGTTATTTAACGAGAAATTAATTACTTTAAAGGGAAATTGGGGACTGTGGCAAAATTCATCAAGTTTTCAAACTCATTACCTCTACAAACAACAACACGTGTAACAAAATTGAGATCACGAAACGATTTCGCTTTATAAGGCTAATTTGATTACGGACCTCAATTTTCCTAACTTACTTACAACATATATTGTACACAAATACCCCAGACAGCATGGCCTCCTATTCAATCCAATTTAGTTTTCCAATTGACGGAAATCGTGGCATTAGTAAGGCGTCGTCGCCAGCTTGTTTGGCGCCTAATTGGACGTTCACATTAAATTTACGACGTGCGTTTCTGTGTTTCACTTGTTAATTTGGTAACATCGGGACTATTTAGAGAACTGTTACGTCTCTTATATATAACTTAATGGTAACTTTACAATATCTTTGTATAAAATGTTGTGAATTAATAATAGAGAAGCCCTAGTGTGGAATGCTACGTGCTTAGATACTTAGGCAGGCTCTTATCTCCAGGGTACCTCGTTTAGAGCCGGGGCAGCATCAGAGGCGGTTGAACCGAGTAAGTGGCGCAGGTATGAGTCTCTGAGAGATTACTATATATTTGTGCCATTTGCCGTAGAGACTATCGGTTCGTGGGGTCATTGTGCGGTGAAGGTCATCGACTTGTCGGCTCCGCTAGGGGTGAAAGGGCTGTTTTTTTCTTGATCAAAGAATAAGTATATGATTCAGCGAGGAAACGCAGTTAGCGTTCTTGGTACTGTTGTGTTAAGTTTTTTAATAATGGAAATAAATATTGTATATATTAATGTAATATAAATAAATGTTATACCCAAAATAAAATAGATTATAAATATAAAACTTATTCAAAGAACAATTTTATATTTACCACTAGATATGAAAATAACTGGAAACATCCAGCAAGCAACACAGTCGTTTTTAAACAGTAGATATACAATTATTTAATATTTAAGTATTGAAAGAGAAAATTAAGTACGTAATATGGAAGTAGACGCCTTAGCAAGCGGGGTTGTGGTCCCCTCTAACTAAACATAAGGGCTTGTGTTTAAGTTTGTGCAGATTAGTCGAGAACGTTGTGGTGAACTTACCTACCCTTTATAAAGCGTAGATTAGTGTGATTTAGGGCCGATTTTACAACCCTCAGATAAAATTCATTCATATGATAAAGTACAATACAAACAAAATAAATATTTTATATTTATTTTATAGCATAATTTATTTACATTATGCCAGCTTATATTTTATTTAGGGTCTTTTTATCAGATAATAATTATTGATAAAATATAAGTCAAACAAATTAAAAATAACAGTAGTTGTATGAATAAAATAGTTCAATTGATTAACTTTTATATTCCGCCAGGTTATATTACTATATTTGATGGATAACTTTTATGAGACGATTTAAAAATGAGCCCGCAGATAGTTATTTTTGAAGCCCGTACGTAATATAAAATTAACAATATTCAATAAAAAATTTTATTGTAACAAGTAGCCTTTCCGGCGGTTTGTCAAAGCAGTCCGAAGAGACCTTTAACGTTCCCCGTCTCCGGATTTTTACATTTGACATATAACATGGACGCCATCTATGGGAGGTCATGGTATCTTTTCCATAGTCAACTGTTACTCCCATCAAGGGACAAAATCGGGTGTTAGATTCTCTTCGACATCACCACATGGAACTATGGGCGAGCCTATTTTCAAGTCGGACTGTTTATGAAGTGACGAAGCAGGGGAGATATATCAATTTCAGATAAGATATTTTTCAGATATTTTTTTAAGATATTCAAGTTATAATTTTAGTGTAGGTCAAAGGCAGTAATGCCAACGAATAATATTTTATTTAAATGTATTCAATGTCATACAACTACTCTGAAGCTACTGTCGCTTACATCTTTAGATTTCAGATAATAACAAAAGTCCAAAATTACTTTGAAAACTTGGACGTCATTGGCAATTTATATATGTATAATAATGTAGATAAATATTGTTGTGAAAAAATGGGTAAAAACCACGGAGCAAATGCTCCGTGGTAAAAATCTTAACCCGCATCAAAACATACAAAAAAATTTAATCTAAAAGGTAATATGAGATGGCAACCTGTGATCGGGTAGACTGCGGAAGCGGCACAACCTGCCAACTACAATGTTTCACATTGTATACATGATAATCTACTACGATAGTTATTAAGAATAAAAGATAGTTATCAAGAAAAGAAGATAGTATTAACTGTGTTGTGGCAGTGTAAGAATACCCCTACCCCAAATCGCCTCGTGGGTGACGTAAGAGGCGACAGGGGGAAATTGAAACATGAGACGGGCAGCAGCATCTCCCTGATAACAACTCTAAAAAAACCAGTGGCCAGTCAAACTTGGCAACTATGGCAAAATCCTACCAACTAGGCAAAATTTGGGGGAGGCCTATGTTCAGCAATCAACTTTTATAGGCTGTTATGAATGAATGAATGAATAGATCAAGCAAAAAGGGAGGAAAAACACGGAAAAAAAGAGAATCGAAATTATAGCAATCCATCACAAATTCGACAGTTAAAGGAAAACAGGTGATTGTTTTCTGGGAACTCGTACGCCGCCATTTTAATGCACAATTTAAAAGTCAAAAATATGCCCCGTTATGTGCACGGTAACTGCGAGGTCGCGGCATTGGCAATGGCCGCTTTTTTCTCGTATTAACCTCACTGGCTCCTTATCAAGCGAGGGTAACTCATGGCCCATATAAGGCTGGTATCGATTTGCGAGTCATCGAGGATTCCTGACGCGTTACACCTACTTATATATAAGGTATTTCAAATGTTATTTATATTTTACGTTTCAAGAGGTTCACCTCATTTTCATTTTGAGTTTAATTTTCTTTTTTTCTTTTTTTTTTGTACAGGTATTATGGCTGTTGGTCCAGCAAAAGACATGAGTAAAAGAAGCACATAAATGTTTGGGTCCCGAAACACTCCCTTTGGGTAATTTCTCAATAATATGGCAGTAATAATAAATTATTGTAAATAGAACGTTTTTTCTGACCATATGTAAGGCATGAGTCACATAGGCACCTCGCTAATCCCTTCTAACAACGATTAAAGGATACTTTACGAGCGACTTGATTCATCGCACCATATTTAGACGTATCAATTGGTTTAGTCTGTTTTAATTTATGTTAGCAGTGTCAATGTATCCAAATACAAGTACATGTGTACATTACAGTTTAGGTATAAAATTCCACTGCTGAACATAAGTACTCTCCATAGACTTTCTCATAAGGGACAATTTGCCATAGTGCCATGCCTGGCAGGCGGGTTGGCAACCGCAGTTTTTTTTTAATTTTCTAGATATTCTTACACCGCCACTACAATGTTGTACAGATTAAAGTACAGATGCACTTAATCAATCAAGAAGTTAATTTGTTTGTTAAATTTTATACCTAGACAACAGTATGGTACATCAACCATTGTACTCGCGTTCTGTGTGAGCCGTAGCGTGGAACTTTCTGGAAATTAACATAAGTACAAAGAGAAAAAAGCTTGGGGTGCGACGCAATGTTGTTCTCCCTGTCCCTGCTTCTTTATCACCACTTTTAGTTTTCTTTTGATCACTATCGCTAAGGGTTTACGTCGAACATGGGGGGACCACTTAATTTGCAGGAAACGAATGCTACGTACCGTGGGTAGTTAAAACTCCTGATAAATAGGAGAAATATTTCTATATTTTTATTAGATTTGTTTGCTTGTACAAAATAACTGTATTAATTTTTTTTATTTTAATTATCTCGATATCTATTTCCTTCTATTGTCTTTCAGTGAAGGAGAGAGAGAGAGAAATTTTAAATTGCTGCCTTTAATTTAGTCTATATACTATAATAAAAAACAGGAAAAAGTCAGTTTTCGCATTTTCCAGACTGAATTTGGCCAATTTATAATTTTGATCAAGAAATTGGTTTTATTTTGAAGCTGTACTTAGTTAGCCCTGAAATCCTTACTTTGTGCGTGAAAATAAATCAAATTCAATTTTCTTTCAAATAATAAGATACCTAGCCTACGCTTTTTTAAAAAGCCGGCAACGCTTCTGCAATTCCCCTGGTGCTGCAGTTGTTCATGGGCGGTGGTAGTCGCTTATATACCATCACGTGAGCCGCATGCTGGTTTGATCTCAAGTAAAAAAATTTTTGTCGAACTCAAAGACAAGGGTAAGTGGTACAGGTAAGATAAAATATAGTAATGTCCTCCAGACCGAATTTCGGTCACGATAGCCAATCTAAAGGAAGTCTGGAAAATATGTACTGAGCAGAACTGGATTATAGTGTCCGCGTTTATATGTGCAAGTACAGGCGCATCTCTATTCCTACCATTATTATAGATAGTTAGATAGATAGATAGATAGAGAGAGAGAGAGAGAGAGAGAGAGAGAAACTTTAACCATTTCTTATATAATTGACGTCGATTATATGAGTAAATTAGATTATACCCTGTCTTCCACATGCACGTTTTTCAATTCTAAAAAGAATAATAACACATATTACAAATAAACTAAAAACACTGGTCTCAAACTACTCACCAGCACGGAACACCTCGCCGCATCCATCGCACCGGCTGGCGAACTGGGCGTCATAGCAGTTGCCGCAGTAGATCTTGTCGAGCTTGGAGCCAAACTGCTTGTCCACCAGTGAAACGCGGCACTTGGCGCACAGGAAGCAGGCTTCGTGCCAGTGCTTGTCCTTGTATGACAAGTCCTGTAGAAAAAGAAAAAAATAACTTAAAAATTTGGCGATCAACAACAACTGATGTAGAGAATACGTTCTCTGGTGGCAAACGAAGTATAGGTTAACCCCTTTCTAGGAGTGACGACCTGATACGAGATACGGGAAGTCGGGTGAGGCCTATGTTCAGCAGTGTACTTCTGATGAGTTGTAAAGATGATAATGATGATGATAACGAAAATGGTGAACATTCAGTTGACAAAGTTACTAACATTAAAGTGAAGAAATAACTTATAACAAATAAATGCAAAATTGCAAAAACTAAAGAACTTATTGAGTTTGTATTTTTTTCAAGAAAAGCAGTAGCATTTCCTAGTAATAAGTTAATTACCTAAGTAATGGTGCCCCACACCCAGCTCGACATGGCGTTTATGAATTTATAAAAATATTTTATAAAAAATAATTCTACCTCTGCTTCTATGTGAGTTATCTTTGATCGAAAGAGAAATTAATTTTAAATATGTTGTCTTAGAAAACAGAAATCACAAATAGCTTTAGAATAATAATCAGTCTGACTTTTCTGATCTCGCAGCCACTCAAATTGTGCCATTCTAGGCCCAAGCCTAAACCATGGACTACTCTGATGTCCAGTTATCGACACTATTCTAGTAACCTTTGTACCTACTGATAACTTGATTTAACTTCCCAAAACTTTAAAACACTTTTATTTGCCTTTATGTCGTAAAAGTAATGTCAGCACTTGACTACCTATAATAAAATAATGATAAATAAACACTTTAAATTATAATATTTTAGTTAAATATCCGAATGTTATACATATATAATATGTTACGTATTACAGACCACTACACATTTATGAAATTATATGCAAGTACGTATAAAGTATAAACAGAAAATATATTCAGTCATATTTATTTTAAGAAACCATTAATTCGAATGTTGGTTTAACGTTGGCTATTGGCTTTATCTGCTTTGTAAATACCCATCGTTAACGAATACAACAATAATATTAGAATCTACTAAAGCAGTGTGGGTAGAAATTAAAATACAGTGGAACCCACTGCCAACACTTTGAAAGCTTCATTATTCTTTTCTTATAACCACCCACATCAATTGAACCGTTATGTCAGTAATGGTTAGCATTTTGAAAAGTCGGTCATTTCGGAAGCTAAAAATAATTATTCATCTTGTTTTTATCAGACCATTATAGGAAGGGTTTGTAGTGAACGCCACGTTTTACATGCGGATTGAAACCCTAGAAGTCTCGAACCTTTAACGCTGCCTCTAGTCGTCTGCTCGTCTGTCTGGGTATTTTATATCCGCTATATGCGAGATGATTAAATTATACCACCATTTTTTTACTTTTCTAAGCCAGCGCTTGACAAAAAAAATCTTATATTTAATTAGTTTGTTCACCGAAAGGTAGAATATGGCTATATTTTTGCTAAATTATTAAGACCTATTGTAACTCATATATCGCAAACGGATATAATGAATTTGAATTTACTATCCCACCAGGTGGTAAGTGGTGATGCAGCCAAAGATAGTAAGTGTACTGACTTAACAAAAAGCCTATTTATCGGACACCAATGAGATATTTCTGGTGCTTTACCATAATTTCCTAAGAAAATCACGGGACAATGTAAAATGATGAGTTTACCATCATGTATAGAATAAAACGCATCGATCTCTTTGGACTAAAATATCATTAATTAGAAATTTGATTTTGCTTACTATAAAAAATTAATTGAAGTAATTGGCCGTTCAAATTTGATCCGCATAACAGTTAATAAGAATCTGAAACTTAAATCACACTCCCACTCCTTCAGTATCTACTAAAGCATTTGATAGGCTTAATCGAGCGAATGTGTTTTTTGTTATACATCTTTATATTTAAAGAGTTAATTACGATAAGATTTTTAACCGACTGCCAGAGAAGGAGGTTAATGTTTTTCGAGTGTTTGTGTGTATGTAGTCTGTGCGGCTAACGATGATGGATTATTACATAATGGCGTGTCGTTAGCTTAGTCAAAGTTGTGAAAATGTCGTAGGGTATATTTGTATATTTCTGATTTAGGTAAACTTTTTACGCAGGCGAGACTTTTTTTTAATTACAGTGTTAACCATTGGGCTTGTTTACTGTCATTAACATTTTATTTGACTCATGCATTTATATATATAGCATATTATAAGGTACAAATATTTACCGTGTGGTGTACAGTACCGAGTTCCCATTATTTATTATTTTGGACGTGTAGTGTGTGCTAAGAAATTCATTACCACATATCATCTCGTGGATATCATAAGAAGCAACAGAGAAAATCTAAAGCAAGGAATGGGTAGCAGCATCTTCCATGAATAATGAATGATTATTAATATTACAGTCTATCAAAAGTTCACTGATAAGCATATGCCTCCCCCATAGATTGCCTGATAGTTATACTTATATCTCAAAGGTTATCAGAAAGATGTGCTGCTGCCCATTTCCTGTTTTATTTCCCTCTCTCACTACTTATAACACGATCGGTATGATAAGGGGTAGTGAATTTCTTACGCTACACGCGTTCAAAGTTATAATTACAATATGGTGATTGAAGCGATCGATGTTAACGATTTCCTTGACTTTTATATAGTGCTCTGTAAAAGCCACGACCCCGAAGAAAACAGAGGGATGTTATATGTTTGTATTGTGTATCTGTGTATTTATGTTTGGCTGTGACATTATAGCTCCCGAACGGATGAACCTACTTGATTGGGTTTTTTTCGTTTGTAAGGTGTCTTAATCGAGAGTGTTCTTAGTTATGTTTCAAGAAAACATGTTCAGTCGTTTCAAGATAATCAGCTTTTTTGTTTTTAATTTTTTTTATTTAATTTATTAATAACATATATTTTGATTAATTCCATTATTTCTATTGACATTTTGCCGTAAATGTCTAAGAAAACCATTCGTCACACATAGTGATAAATAACGTCTTCTTAATCGCCATCTTTCATCGCATCGATTATTATTAATGTTGATTTTGGACAGACACGAGCGTTAATTCTAAAGGTATTGTGCGTCATTATTATAACTTTATAGCTTTTAATGATCTTGAATAACAGAAAGCTAATTTTACGGATTCTATCGCGATTTTTTTTTATTGTAGCACGAGTGGGTGGGCTCGACCGGGGAAGGACCACGCTCTCACAGAATACCAGCGTAAAATGGCAGCTTAACACAGCTGTGTTCCGTATGGTGAGTGTAGAGATCCGGAGACCCTTTTTACTGGAAAAGAGGTATTCCATCTTAGTCCTCACGGGTGACAACGCATCTGCGTTTTGATTCGCAAACGAGGATAGATTTAGAATCATCGTAATGATTTGTCGTGTTTGTGGTTAACCGTTGAAACCTATACTCAATGGTAAAATAATATCAAGCGCGTTATCAAGATATCTACAGCTCAGCTGGTACACAAATATCATCACGAATTCTCGAGTGTCCGTACATTATTTTAGCAATAGTTGGAACAATTTCAAATAATTGCACAATCGAAAATCCAGTTTCATTATATTTTATGCTTCAAGATAATGGTTACTCGAGAGCATCAATTTCTGTGTTACACATTGCAGGTTCACCGATCACGTAATGATTTGTAATTTATTGGATTACACTTGTACTTGATGGTAGAATATGGGTTAAGCGCTCATCGTAAATTTCAGTTCTCGAGCAACCCGGGTTTAATAGTCGCCGGCACCAATGAAATTGTTAATTGCAATTTTAAGTGCTGATTTACCACATGCTCGGCGATGAAGGAAAACATCGTGAGGAAATGTAATAAAATATTTCGAGGACTTGTTATTACCGCTGACATGCACTGGAGAATCGCACCGATGTGATTCCTCCATAACCCAGTGGATTAAATACCCCAAGAGTGTTGGCTCATAACAATAGAAATGGGAGGCAACTGTGTCTGGTAGTGGGACGTATATCGATTGTAACTTTACTCCACTATAAATAAATCTATTTATCAATTTATGTACATTGTTTTTTTTTTACAATTTATTTTGTTTTATGTTTTTTTATAGGATAATGTGACAAATGAACACACAGTCCACCTGATGATAAGTGGTTGCTGTGGCCCATAGACATCTACATCTATCCTTGCTTGCAAATTAATATGCAGATGCGTTGTCAGCCGTGAGGACTAAGATGGAATGCCCCTTTGCCAGTAAAAAGGGTCTCCGGTTCTCTACACTTACCATACGAAACACAGCAGTGTTAAGCTGCGATTTTACGCTGGTATTCTGTGAGAGCGTGGTTCTTCCCCGGTCGAGCCGACCTATTCGTATATGTATATGTATATCTTACCAAATTTATTTGTGATATTTAGTATGGGCCTTGTCATCTAGGCGCTCAGTTGTATTATATATATGTATAAAATATATATTAGGATACATTAAAATATAATATAGAGTTGTTTTTGTATAACGCTAAAATGTTTTCTTTAAAACATTTTCCAGTGTTGAACCAATCTTTATTTTATTGGATAAGTTAGTTTGGTATAACTTTACTCTTTGATTTTTTTGTATATTTTATTTTTCCTTCAAAACAATCTGCGGCATATACAATCTTCTCCTCATTTCAATCTTCTTCCTCGTAAAACTTCACACCTGGAGATGAGACTCTCACGTTATTGGGAGTATTTGTCTTAATCGCCACGCTCGGTAGGCGGATTGGTGATCGTAGTGCCAGAAATCAGTCACTGGTCTGAGTATTTTACCTCTGACGTAAGCGGGATGGCTTTACCGCCATCCATAGGGAGCCATAAGATTTTTCTGAAATTTCCCCTAATCATCTCTTTCAACACCCATAGTAATGAGGTGATGGATTCTGTTACTACACCACCACACGTCCAATATCCACGTTTGCCTCAATTCTCATATTTTTCAACCGACTTTAAAAAAGAGGAGGTTTACAATACGTCGGAATCTTTGTTTTTTTTTATGTTGGTTCACCGATTACTGGAAGACGCCTGAACCGATTTAGAAAATTCTATATTTGTTTTATCGAAATCGGTCGAGCGGTTTTAAAAAAATCAACAATAAATTATATTTATATTGAAGTCGGTTGTACAAAGTTTTTAATTTGACCACAAAGCTAAGTGAAATATGAGTAGTAAAATTTTCGGGAAGATGAAACGATAATAATTTTATCCGTCTTACGAAAGTCAGATGACATTAACATACAGTTAACTGTACACAACGGTCGTTGACGAATGCCTTCGGTTTCAAAATAAAGCTCCCCTCATTCTATGTTCTATTCCTGGCGACCCGACATGAAACGGCGAAGTCGAGCTTAAAACTAATGTCAATAAAATATGAATGTTTATTTTCACCGATTACGAAACACTTAGCAGGCTCAAATCGTGCATAAATCTCCAGAGAATCTCATGATGGGTTCACGCACGGGTTCCCAAGGTCAAACTCGTAACAAAATCGGCGAAAATATTGTAACTGTCCCAGAAATAGTTTCAGCTGGAGTGACGGCTTTTGTTTTTGAAATACACAACGCCGCCGATCCGTTCAAAGCTATACGTACAAACAATTTCAACAATATATATTCGACTGTTTATTTTGTTGTCGTCTATAATGAATTCTATTTTTAATTAAATATCCAAGTAAAGTTCTATTTCGATGAAAATAATAAGGAAAATTTATCGAAAGTTTCGCTTCGAGGATGTATCTACACTGCGTTCGAAATTAAAAAAAAAAGATAGACAGAGATTCTAGTTCGCGGGTACAATTGTTTGGTGTACATTATGCAGATGTTTTGTCCGACAGGAAAAGTCATACGTGGTAGAGATAAATGTATAGTTCAGCGCAGCCGCGTATCACTTTATGTTGGCTTGGCATCGCTAGCTGGGGCCGTGTGCAGAAGTGCGCCTGAAGAATCTGGGCCGGCTGGAGTGACATAACTAAATTTGATCAGTGTAACAAAGCTTAGCAATGCCATCGAATCCGATGCTATTCTAAGGATGACATTCGAAAGACGCTCTTTGATGGTATTTTAAGATTGCGTACATAGCTGATTGTACTTGTAGCTTGTTGTGTAGTTGTTAATAAATTCGAACTTACTTTATATGAGTAACTAGTGACAGCGTGGGAATATTTTATTAAACTATTGCGCCTGATAAAAGGAGTACATAAAATTTTTCATTAGTTCATGACTGACTTTACCAGTTTAAATGTCTATTTAATGATGTCAGTTTTATGCATCAAAAGATTAACAGTACATACAATGAATTGACTAACGAGCATACGTGTTTATAATAGTGAATTTATTGTGCAAGGTAATGTAAGTTTAATGAGCTGACCTTGGAGTCGATTCCAATGATCTTGTTGCACTCCTCGCAGCCGTTGGCGAAAGCGCTCTCGTAGCACTTGATGCAGTAGGGGTGCTCATCGCGTAGCACGTACCGCTGGCCAGTCAGCGACTCATCACACTGCCAGCAGCAGAAGTGACCGCTGTGCCAATCCTTGTTCATCGCCTTCGTGTATTCGCCGCTGAAAATGAGCTGAGGAAAAAAGCTCAAGTTGATACACTTCGAAATACAAACACAAACTCACATCTCACAATCGAAATCTGCAAAAATCGCTACTTAAACACGGCGGTATAGTAGAAAAAGCAGCAAGCATTAATAGTAATTTGATAGTGTGTCTATCTTTGGTAGTTTGCAAGACGTCTTTTCAATGTTTTATGATTTGAGGAATATGTACCTTAAATTAGGTCGGGTATGTGAGGGTGGCCAAAAAGGGGCACCTAACAACATATCGATAAATGCAAACAAACACGTCACTAAAGGAGATCGAACTCGACTCGGTAATCGACACTTGGCCGTCACAGACACACTAGCGTCACATCGCACTTCTCACGAGGGTCAAGGGAATTGGCCACCACTACACATACCCATCGTCGTTGACGTTGGTCGTGTTGGTCTGCTCGATCTCGGTGACGGTGACGTCGCCATCCTTAGACTCCCTACGTTTCGAAGACTTCTTGACCTTCCTGGTCTTTCGCTCGGTAGTGGTATACTGGACTTGTACGTCTACGTCGGCCATGGCAGAAGTCGGGGCTGCCTGTGTTTGCGAAGAAAGCGATATCACCGAACGCGGTCGCGACCCGAATTCGAATGGCGAGCACCGGTAGCTGAATTGGAGGAATTATTCCAGAATGTTTAGCGGCGCAGGCGGTCGCGCCGGTGGGGGGGTTTCGGATTTAAATTTGGAAGAGTGACGGAGAGGGCAGGTGCGCGGGCGGCGTTTCCGAACGTCCCGAGAATCGCACGTTTCCTTCGCTCGAGTTTATCCTCGCTGACTGTGGAGATTCGACACCGCCCGAACACTTGTGAAATATAGGCCGATACCAATTAGTTATGATTGACCGAATCCCTTATCATTTGGCTTACGTTCAGCTAAAGCTCAATTGTTATTGGCCAGCCATTATTGATAGGCGTCCAAACACAAATCAAGTTTTTCTTCATGCCTGTCAATTTGTTGATGATCGGTTCCGTTATACATATTACATCCGTTGATAGATTAGAATTTAACATTGTATTTTGTTAGTAAGTGTGACCTATACGATCGCATCTTTTAAATTTCATGATGAGCGACTGAATACTAGAAAAGAGGCATTGATATACGATTGCTTTTTGATCAAAGTGTTAACTGATTTAATGTCGTTTCAAATGAAGGCGTCATTAATTTTCACGGGTTGCATTTCAACTATCATTAGTTACAATCTATATATACTCCACCGCTGAACATAGGCCTCCCCCATAGATTGTCTCATATTTTGCCATAGTTGCCACTCTTGGCAGGCGGGATGGTAGCCGCAGATTTTTTTATGATTTTGATTTGATATCTGTTTCGTTTTTTGTTTCCCTCAGTCGCCTCTTATGACTCCCAAGGGACGATATCGGGTAGTGGATAATCTTTCACCGCCACTTACACGGTTCATCATTTCAACTACGATCGTTATAATTACACAGAAATCAAACAAAACCAAACATCTTAACAGAAGGTATGTAAGCAACATCAACAACAATAAGCAATAGTTACATCAAAGACGGTTCGTTTCTGTGAATTCTAAAACATACATTTCTAATCGTTAAATTTGACGGATTTGCCCCACATGTTTCTATTTATTACTAAAGCGATCATGGTACCGTATAAACTATAAACAATTGAATTCCAAAGCATCATTCAAATACTGTGGATAAAATAACTCTTATTTGTTACTAGCCACTGTATTAACGTGGTGTTATTAAATTGAAATAATTATCAAAGACCATTTATTTTATCAATTTTCCGACTTCTCAAAAAAAATCTTGGATAAAGTATAACATACTTTACTCCTGGTATTGATCTCTATCTGTTTATGAAGTTTTATTACAATCGGTTAAACCATTATGACGATCAACTTGGATAGACAGACAGCCAGAGAATTTTTTAAAGAATGCTTTTTAAAGAAGCTCTTAATTGCAAGGCAGTTATATATATACTCATATATACTCATTTATTCAAAATATATAAAACAAAACAAAATGAATTTTTTTAGCCCTACAGCAGAAACCACACACGGTTTAGTTGCTGTGGTCTATTAATTATAAACTATAATCTATATTAAAACTATTATTGATAATAATGGTAGATTTATATCTTTATTAACTAATCAGCTAATCACTAAGTATATTATTAATATGTAAATTTGAGATAAATCAGGTATAAACATTATTATTATTTCGATATTAAAGAAAGACACTTTAAATTTAATTTATATAACATAATATAGATGTATAAACATTGTTGTCGGCTGCTAAAAATTGCTCATTATATATAACTGTTTTACTACTAATTTCTTCAAAAGAAAACTAGTGTTTTCATACAATTCATGAGTGACAAAGCAAAATTAATTACTTTAAAAAAAATGAAACGTTTGAAAGATCCGCAATGTCTAGACATTGACGGTTGACGGGGCGGTCGATGTCTTGGACCTCGCAAGGTCTTGGCCGGTCAGATTCATTCATCGGTTTAAAAATAACGGTTTACACGTTTCCTTAGTACGGCTCGTAGGGAGCACCTGGACGTAAGCAGATCGTGGGAGGTACTCGTCGAATATCAGTACCGATAGTTAAAAATTAATTTAATTCAAATTGTGTAGGATAACGAAAATAAGACAGTATTTTGATTTTTATACATTATGGAGAAACGGGTAACAAAAGTTGTTTCCCATTCAAAATGAGTCTTTATTTATAGAAAGTAAAGCGAAACAACCACACAGTCACGAGTAAAAGTTAAAAATTACATTTATTAAGAATTACATGTAATCAATATTCAATAAACATGATTCTATTCTATTCTAGCCCACCTGGTGGTAAGTGGATGCTCCCATAGATACTTTCATCTATCTTCAATAAAGAATCAAAATGCAGATGCATTGTCATTCCGGTGAACTGAGTACTAAGATCGATTGCCTTCTGAATTGGATTATCGTCATTCACCAAATAAAATACGAAATATATTTTTTTATAAGTCCGCAAACAAGCATGCGGCTCATGTCCGCCCATAAACAACTGCAACACCAGAGGAAATCAGAGGAATTACTGGTGCGTTACCTTTTAAGAAGAAGAAAGCTTGTTTCTTAACACTTTCACTGTCCGGTTGTCAGACACAATACTAAGACAATAGCAATGACATATATGTAGTGCAAGGAACAGCAAAAGGGTTAAAAATTAAAATTACTCAAGTCGTATCGGTCCGAAAAAATCGCCGATGGTAAACCATTAAACAAAGAAGTCGTGCGAGGAATAATATTTCTTGTAAATCGCACAGTGTTGGACCGCCAATCATCCAGATGGTATGGACGGTATAGTGAGTTGATGGTATGGTGAAATTGAGCGACTGTAATTATTCCGAACAATTCCTCAGAGCACTGAGGTGAGGAGATGGTGTGGGTAGTGTCATGAGTTGTTTCTGTGAAATTAAAAAGGCTAGGTATTTAAAGGAGTAAAAAGTCTTGAAATAAGTAAAGGTCTCACCTTTACTTATTTCAAGCACACGAGCACACAGTCCACCTTGTAGTAAGTGGATGCTATAGCCCATAGACACCATCTATCTCCGGTTAAGAATTAGTACTAAAATGGATTGTTACCACTAAAAAGGGTTTCCGATTCTTGTCCAATACATTAGTAATATGCTGCTATTTTACACTAGAATTTTGTAAGTGCACCTACACTGGGCGTGATGTGAGCCATTCGTGCTGCAACCTATACGTATATCTATCTTTACGCCGCCTGACACTACCACGTTAAAAGTTCTGGTAAGTATTACGAGTAGAAGTATTTTACTTACATCTAACTAGACTCTTTTTATATAGCACTTAAAGTGTAAGGTTAACTATATGAATATTTAATGAAGTGTAAGGGAGAGACCATCAGAAAACCACTGATTCCATGCATCCGAATTTCCACCCGATCTACCGACTTATTTGGAGGTACATTTAAAAGGACAAATTTTTTGTAGTCCCTTTTAAACCTTAAAGGATTTCAGAAGGACCAAATTCATCATTAATTCATCAAAATTGTTGGACAATGAAAACTTTACTCGAATTATACAATATTGACGTAGGATAACGAAAAGTTGGCAATGACTATTTAAGGGACCTGCTTACAGAAACGTATAAAGAGCGAATAAGTTGATGTGGATTAGAATGCAACTTTATAATAACCTTCAATTATAATGAACTAATCTAATAGGACATACACTGTGTAGTGGCGGTGTAAGAATATCCACTACCCCATATCGTCCCGTGAGTGTCGTAAAAAGTGACATAGAGAAACTGAAACAGGAGATGGACAGCAGCATCTTCCCGATTACAACACAAAATAAAAAAACTGCGGTTGCCAAACCGCCTAGTAAGCGTGGCAACTATGACAAAATCCCAAAATATATTTAGCAACTGAACTTTTAAAGGCTGTAATGGATAACGGAATCTAATATAATGATTAATCTGTCGCTCGAGTCATATTTAACTTTATTGACGACATCTAATATCATCATCATCATTACAGCACTTTACAAGTCCACTGCTGAACATAGACCTCCCCCAAGGTATGCGACAAAGGACGAGCTTCCTGTGCCACCTGTATCCATCAACTTCCCGCATATCTTACCAGATTGTAGCTCCATCTAGTGGCAGGCCGCCCTAAACTTCGCTTACCGGTACAAGGTTGCCAATCGAAAACCTTTCTTCCCCATCGGTTGTCCGTTCTTTGAGCTATATGACCGACTCTCATTAAATAACTACAACAAAGTTGACGTAGTACTGAAGGAGTACAAGTGGTCAATATTTATATTGTTTTCGTAAAGAATTTAATAACCTAATTATTTAATTGCAAGTTTCAAGTTTATTGTTGTATATTTAGAATGAAAATTTCAAAAAAATAAAATAAAATTAATACATATAAAAGATTGTACGTTTAAGTTGCTACATTATCTATTCAATATAATATAATAA